CTGCCTCATCGCCTTTGAAAATGTCCACCGCAGTTGTGGACGAAACGTCATGAAGAAATTCCGATAGACCACGGCTTCAAAGCCCGGAAAACATTTCTAAATGTAACAACAGTTAAGTTGGCGTTATATTATACGGGGTGTCCGGTAATGGTGACACCAACACTTCACGAGGTAGTTCTAGGGTAAAAATGAATGAGACAAGTTCATATAAGACTGGATCACCTTGGATATCAAGCGTAAATTTGTGTAATTTACAGCTTGACATCCAAGGTGATCATAGTACCTGTACCTCATGATCGAAATAAAAAAATCTTGTGCTTCCATTTGAAAAAATGAAATTGATGGTCGTAACTTATTTTTGGATAACCCTGTATAAATTGGGTATTAACGATCGCATTTACAAATAAAAATTGACGGGCCCGATCTTTTTTTGAAAAAACAGTCCTCTGAATTTGAAACGAGGTTTTACACAAATATAACAATTATTATTATTATAACAAGTTTCATTGCCGTTGTGAATTAGGTATTGATGTGCCAGAAGTCATCAAGTCTTCAAACGCATTTTTTTTCTATCCAACTCTTAATAACTGTCACATAACTTAATACTTAATAATGAACCTCGTGTGCAATAGTTTAACTTAAGTCAGTATTTCTTTCATCTGTTTAATAAAAATGTTAATTGTTTAAAAAAGCGAAGCAAAGAACTTAATGCAGCAAGAATTCAATTACCAAAGAATTTAATGTTTCTGATCGCATCTGAAATGTTGAAATATAACAATAAGAATACGCAGAGTGTCAAGGGCGGATACAGGGGGGGGGTCATGGGGGTCATGACCCCCCTTATGCTGCCTTTTTGAACGACTAACCAAAATTTTTCTAATTTCATGGACAACAAAAGACTGAATTTCTACTAATTGACTCCCCCCTGACTCGAAAGCTGGATCCGCCCCTGCAGAGTGTCCCACTAGTGATGCACTTTTTTGCACCCTTTCACTAAACACTCAAGCAATTTAATTTTCAAACTCCTTTTCTCCTCAAAATTAAGTGATTTGTTGCCTCTTTAAAAGCCACAAAATTTTACAAACCCCAACAAAAAAGTTTGGAAGTTTAGTGCATACCACCATGTGCAACAACCCATCTACAACATAACCCTTCTAATGTTTTACATTAGTCACTTTTTACTGTTTTTTTAATACTTTTTATAGTTGATCCTTTGAGATCCGCCTAACACTCGGAAATAAAAGACAAATATCTAATTATAAGCATCTTGCATAGAATTTAATCTTATTTTACAATGATTTTTGGATTTCTTGCGACTGCATCGCATAAAACATCAGTGGCCAAATCTACCAGGAATCGCATTATTCGAAGAAAACATGTTCCAACACAAAGAACAAAAAATATTTCTTCGAAGACGTTTTGCTATTTAACCCTATCCTAACTGAGAAGTGGTTTTCTGATTGTCAAATTTTCATTTTTAAATGCGCTTAGTGTGTGGTCCTTTCTACATTCATTTCGGAATGTATGAAGTAATGAAAGTATGAAAATAATGGATACTAATAACACACTAATTATGTTCATTTGGGGACTCATCAATAAGACGTCAGCGTATTTGTTCTTGATAGTTTAAACCCATTCATTTGCCATATCTTCTCTTGTATAAAGAGGAATAGGTAGGTAGGTACTATTGATTCGCTATTTCAGTAAGATTGCAAAACTCGCATTTACCTCACTCCTATCATGCTTTTAAATAGTAATATGTTTAACTCAATGGAGTGTATTCATCGGATTAAACTAAATTACTTACACAAAATTACCATACAGTTAAAAACTATTGACGAAAAGCTAAATGACTGGGCGAGTTGTTAAAGCTTCTGAATAGCTCTATCAGCTGTCCTGCTCCTAATGATTAAATTAGCTTAGCTGTGGCTCAAAATGTAGGGACACAAATTTATAGTTCAACGAAATGTTGATAGTTATAAAGTTGCATACTGTTACGTTTGTCATCAGAGTGAATAAATCCTATTCTTGCCACTTTCATCAGCTATCTCAATCTGAAAACCTGAACTGTCAGCCATCGGGTGTCTTCTAAAAAGTTGGACATCTTATTGAATCCCAAATATCGATGTACAATCGGTATAATAAAGTCTTAAGGAATGTATCCCCAACTATACAAAGCCGTTTTTGTCGTCGTTGTTGTCTTCGGCGGGTCGTTGTTATGGTTTTTTGCTTTTGGGCTTGGTCCTCAGGCCGGACCTCAAGAACACACACACTGGCCGCCCACGACACCCAATCGGTATTTTGAATAAATAGTTTTAGCAGTATGTGATTGATTTAACGGTTTTCACATACGAATTAACATTTTTCAAGGTTCGATAAAAAGTACCAATTTTTTCGCAAATAGCTATTCCAAGATAAAATAGTATTTTCTTCTTAAATTGTGACTAACATTTCAGTATCTTGATAGAAACGATTCGAAATATAATTATTTAACTAGTTCGTTTAATGATAAGATTACTGCATTTTCGAAAGACAGTCCTATTGAAGAATTTTTATCTCAATCTTTATATTTCAGTTTTTTAGGAAATGCATACCATAAAATGCTCGCATGTGAAAGCCACTCGGTACTTCTCTACGATGATGA